GGCCTGCATGAGAGACGGGAGGGACTCATTCCAGGCTCCCCTGAAGCACCAGCCTCAAGCCCATCACACACACACACAAGAGCAAGCAGCAAATTTGGTTTTAGTATGGGGAAAAAACCCTGCCCTTCAGTGCTCAGGGATATGTGTGTTTCAAGTGAAATAATGTAAAACCAAAGATACAGAAAAAAAAAGTCTTGGAAGCCAAGGACTCAAATAAAATAACACTGTGCATACCTGAGCGGTAGGTAGTGCTTCTGGCCCGGGGAGGCTCACTTCTAGGGAGAAACTGTTTCCAGGGCACTCGAGCCTGCACCGAGCTGGAAGGGGCAGTGGCGGAATGCAGCCTGACTCTCCCACTGAGCTGCGTGTGCCCTGTCAAAAGATCTCTGGCACTCTCTAAGCTTTTGTAGAGATGGAGGCATTAGAGCAGCAATTTCTAAGAAAAAAAAAGCCCTATAAAACCCTACTAATAGGGCTCGGAAGGTGGCTCAGTGGTAGAGCACTTGTCTTGCATGCCTGAGGCCCTGGGTTCGATTCCTCAGCACCACATAAGCAAAAAGAAAAAGCCAGAAATGGTGCTGTGGCTCAAGTGGTAGAGTGCTAGCCTTGAGCTGAAGAGCTGAGGGACAGTGCCCAGGCCCAGAGTTCAGGTCCCATGACCGGACCCAAAAAACAAAACAAAACAAAAAAAAACCCTACTAATGTACATGGGATTTAAGGAGCAAAGTTAGAAGCCTGTGCCGATGGCTCATGCCTGTAATATTAGTTACTCGGGAGGCTGAGTTTTAAGAATTGCAGTTCAAAGCCAGCCCAGCCAGTAAAGTCCAAGAGAGTCTTCTGTTTCCAATTAAGCACCAAAAAAGGAAAAGTGGAACTGTGGCCCAAGGGGTAGAATGCTAGCCTTGAACAAAAAAGCTCCCTGAGTTCAAGTGCCAGGATTAGAAAAAAAAAGCATATTATTATTATTAGTATTATTTTGTGGGGCATGCTGAGGATGAAACCGAAGCCAAGCACTTAGCAGGCAAATACTCTATCTTTGAGCTCCATCTCCCAGTTCAAGCAAAATCACTTCTTAAAGCCCCCAAATCACTGAGCTAGCAGGTAAAATATCTCTTATGCTACGAAATACAGGCAAAATAATATTGCTTTCCTTTATATTAGCAAACACTTATTTTAAAGGGCAAATGATAAAGATTTAAGAAAACAAATTCAGTAAATCTAAAAAAATATGCAATACCTTATATTATTTGCTGACTTACTCTTAATCTACTAGGCACAAGTAAAAGTTTTACATCTGCTACATGATGGCAAGAAAATAAAATGATCACCTTAGATTTTATAGCCCTTGTTATTTAGGAGACAAACGATTCTATTTCTGGGTCATTTGGTACAAACGAAACAGAATTAAGCTGTAAAGGCAGTTAAATAAACTTTCTAAGCCCATGAGTACTTCACAGGAACAGTACTGATTTCAGTAAGGCAAGACACAAAAAAGTCAGCACAGATGTGAACCAAGGTGGCCTACGATGGTACTGCTTGAAAGCCTTAAATATATGACTAAATTTAATATATCTTTTTGCAAATAGTTTACAATTTCATTTTAGCAATTCTTGAGAACATATTAAAACCCAACAAGCTTTCATACCAATATAGACATATGTTAATTCAGACACTTATATGGCTCAGTGGTAGAATGCTTGTCTTGCATGCATGAGACCCTGGGTTCAATTCCTCAGCACCACAAAAGCAGAAAAAAAAAAGCCAGAAAAGCAGAGTAAGTGCTCAAAAAATACTTGTTACATGATTAAATGGCTGCAGACATGCAGATGCCTCAGTTGAGAGCAGGTGTAGCTAAGTGGCACAGTGCTTGCTTAGCAAGTGTGAGGTCTTGGCTTTGATCTTTCCAAAAAGGAAAGAAAAAAGTGGGGGGGGGGGGGGCGGGGAAGCCTCAGCTAACATATGTGCTAATGAAATGAGAAAAGATGTGTGAAAATAATATAAAAAAAGAACAGGAACTCAGAAACATGAAACCTTGGATGCATGTGACATGCATGTCATGAAACATGTTAAAAACATACACAATGTTTGTCTTCTTGCTTGTTTTACTACACACACACAATGGAACTTGCAGGGTACAAAAACATTAATGGGAAGTGGAGGTGTGGCTTCAGTGGCAGAGATCCAGTCTCCAGCAAAAATGCTAAGGGGCAGCAGCCAGGCCCTGAGCTCAAGCCCAAATTAAAGAGAGAGACAGAGAGAGAGAGAGAGAGGGAGAGACAGAGAGAGAGAGAGAGAGAGAGAGAGAAAGAGAGAGAGAGAGAGAGAAAGAGAGAGGGGGGTACAGAGAGAGATACAGAGAGACATACCCCCCCCCACAGAATGGAATTGAGGGATTTTCCCAACTGGCTCGAATTGCTAGGACAGAGTGACTTGGGATAGTGGTGATAGTTAATTAAGTCAGGTGATAGCCACCACTAACCAGGAAATCTGGTTGGAATCTGCAGCTGGCCGAGGAGGTCTCGGCAGCTGTTGGCATATGCTGTCTAACCTTGTTTTGCTTAGTAGTAAAAGTTCTGTAAAACAGAAATGAAACAGATTTCTTGTACTTCAAGTACTTCAAGTGGTGGAAGGGTGAGAGAAAAGAGTAAGGCTGAGGGAAGGACTTTCCTGTAAAATTTCTTATTTGTAACAGTAGTAAAACTACTTTTCTCCTGATGTCAGAATGCCACATACTGAATATTCAAACAATTTCACCTTGAGGAAAATACTATAATTATAGTTTATAGAATTACTACAAAAATCTTCTGTAATTCTTATTACTCTGTTGGAAAATACAGTATGAGAAATAGTCTTTCCTGTGTACAAAAATGAAACAAAAGTAGCTGGTGGTGCATGACCTTTGTCCCAGCTACATGGGAGATGGAGATTCGAGGAGGATCACAAATTTGAGGCCAGCCCGGGCAAAGGTAGCAAGACCCCATCTCAAAAACAAAATAAGAATAAAGGGACTATGGGTATGTGCCAGAGAGTAGGGAGTCCCTGTTCACTCCCCAGTATGTCCAAAATGGGGGGGGCGGTAAAAGATAAATCTATTAAAACTTTGTTAACTCTTGCAACAGTTTTTATTTGCTGATGTATTCTTGTGCAATATATGCATGTGTCTGAAATTTGGGTCTCTCTATCCCCCATAATGTTATCTAGGTGTCATTTGTGAAAAACACTATTTACAAATGGGATTTCTAAAAGTTTAAAATTATCCAAATATAATCTATCAATACATTCATACTTCAGCTGTCTAAATAAAAAAACCATTAAGGTGTTTTGTGTATGACATTGTAACTTCCATAAGGAAAAACAAAACCCAGAGGCTCTGGGCTCCATGATGCCGTTACTTTTACTTCTGAGACGAAAGAAAAGCAGTCTGAGGACACGAAGAAAGCACCAAAGATGGGAAAACAATGGGGAGAATCTGAGTTCCCAGTCTGGGTAAAGCTAAACAATATTGTAGCTTTAAAATAGGATAGGACAGTTTGAGTATTTCATGTGGTCAATCTTAAACTTACTTGATTTTATTATAGGAAGGTTGGCTCTAATCTGGCTCTTGTATGATTTTATTAACATTTATTAAGCACAGCTAGTCAACATTCTCATTCCAAGAGGGAGTGATTTTTGCAAAAGACTGTAATCTCATAAAGGAGGGATTATTAATACAAATATTGAGTGAGTGTGTACAGATACATGTATATTTCATTTTTCTTCCCATGAAATAAATACAAAGCTCCCTGGATATATTAATTTTGTTTTTGTTTTGCAGTCGTGGGGCCTGAACTCAGGGCATGAGCACTGTCCCTCAGCTTTTTTTTTTGTTGGTCGTAGGGCTTGAACTCTGGGTCTGGGCGCTGTCCCTGTGCTCTTCAGCTCAAGGCGAGCGCTCTACCGCTGAGCCACAGTGCCACTTCCATCCCCGAGCTTCTTTTTGCTAAAGTCTAGCACTCTGCCACTTGAGCCACAGTGCCACTTCTTCTGTGTATGTGGTGCTGAGGAATTGGAACCCAGGGCTTCATGCCTAGTACTCTTGCTAGGCAAACACTCTACCACCAAGCCACATTCCCAGCTCCTTGATATGTTAATTTTTATGGTAAATTGAATTGCTTATCCAATTGTATTACTTTTTTTCCTCTCTTGGTTATTCTTTTACAATAGCTATGTAATGTGGTTAATTTAAGACAGATTTCCTTAGAAAGAGATTTGGGTTAAGATTCACAAATTGCCAGAAAATATTAATTCAACTTAAAATTTTGTGCAAAGCTTAGCTGTTGTTTCTACTGACCAAAATGGTCATAAGTTTTAGCACTGTGCTAGATGTGTGTGACACTGAAGTATTTTATGAGCTAGCAGAGTCTGGGTAACTGAATTACCACTGGTGCCTGTAATGCTAACGGGTCTGAGGACACAATTTCATGCCACACAACATGACAGTTTCCTGTGTTGTACTTTTAATAGGTCACTGACAAGATAATATGTTTGTAAATGGCCAAAGGAAAAAAGATTTAATTCTGATTAGTTGAGCAGTGTGACTATTAATGACCAGGTGGATTTCAGCATGGGTGGGTGGTGGTGGTGGGAAGGCCAAGTATGTATGTGTATTAGTAAACTTCCAAGGGATTTGGTAACCAAGTTCTGATATTTCTTCCACCATTAGGCTTTGGAGCTATCTCAATAGGGAACCTGATGTAGGTGTGGGAGGAATCTCCGGGGCTGGGAAGCTATTGGTTAGGTTTGTAACGGAAGTCTAAATTTAGTTTTTCTCATTAGGTATGTCATCATACATCTTATGGGCATACTGTGACCCTCTGAGGGAAATCTCTCCTTATTAAACTAATACATCCTGTGAAGTTTGCATATACACACTAAAGCCCACATCTGTGCATATCAGCGTTCCCCCCTCCCACCTACTTCTCACCCCATTCATCTGCACACTCACTCTTTTTCCCTCTTACCATGGGCAGGTCTTTTAGGATCTGTATTCCATCTCCAGGACCCATGTGTGCTATGTGGTTAAAGTTAGTCGGGTTAGAGATTAATTTATTTCTCATCTCTGGATCTCGTAGCATCTCCCTGTAAGGTAGAACACCTGTTTAGACATTTTTCAGTCTAAATAACTTAAGAAAAAACGCTGAATATACTTCATCTTGATATAAATATAGGTTAAATAGTGTTAAGGACATGATTAGGATAACAGAATATAGTCAATTCAATTTCTCAAAATGTTTTGGTTTTAACTTTAAATGAAAACATCTTACAATTTAGGATGAGAAAAATGAGAGGGTCTTTTTATTAATGTGTGTGTCCCAGTACCGGGCTTTGAACTCAGGGCCTGGGAGTTGTCTTTCGATTTTTTACTCAAGGCTAGTGCTGCACTACTTGATCCACAGCTCCACCTCCAGCTTTTTGGTGATTAATTAAGACATAAAAGCCTCACAAAATTTCCTGCCTGCGCTGGCTGTGATCTGAGTCTCCTAAGTAGCTAAGCTTACAGGTGTGAGCCCCTGGCATCTGGCTGAGAGAGGGTCTTTTAAACTATTTTATTCAGAACTGGTGATCAAACCCAGAACCCTGGGCATCCTAGGCAAGTACAGTACTCTAGCCTGAGAGGGTCAGGGTTTTGTCTGTTGGTTTGTTTTTTGTTGTTGTTGATACTAAGGACTGAACTCAGGGCCTCAAGTATGCTAGGCAGGTGCTCTTCCAGCCCTTTCTGCACTGGCTGTTTTCAAGGTAAGGTACTATTTCTTTGGCCAGGCCAGCAGGTCTGTGATCCTCCCACTGCACTGTCCTGTGCTGCTGGGGATGACAGGTGCCTACCACTGCACCCAGCCACTGGATGAGTCTTGTGAAATTTTTTTGTGTCTGGGTTGGTCTTGAACTCCATCTCCCAATCCCCACCTAAGTAGCTAGAATCACCAGGCTTGAGCCACTGTGCATGGCAGGGACCTATCCTCTGAAAAGGTATCAAAAAACCCTTGTAAATACACAGATAGTCTGACCCTCTCATGTGTACCTTTTAAAAATAACTGATAAAACACTTTAGAAATCTTTTATATGTAGGCAAGTATTATATACACATTTATTTACTTATGAACAGAATAATCTGAATTTCTTAAGCATATACAAGTTTACTATATACAGATATGATTATATTTATATTGAACAAAGGTACACATTCCATTCAGATTAATCCACATATATACAGAAATAAATCAGAGCATGGTACTTCGCTCCGTGTGCTCTCTGAACTTGAAACCATGGGCCTCACACTTGCTAGGAAAACACTTCACCACCAGCCACACCGCCAGCTCTGGAGTTTTGCTACCACAGATGAATGACAGATCTTCTATGGCATTGCCACCAGACAGACTTAGAACAGCGATGGCACACAGCTGGCCAGCGAGCACAAGTTCAGATGGATGTACCTCCTCTGCTGCACCCGCTCCTCCTCAGGGACACGGAAGGAGTAACGCCGTTTGTTGTTGATATTCCTGACCATTTGTTTCCGACTATTGTCTGATGTTTCAGGAACTACAAGTTCATCCCCTTCTGTTTGGAAAAAGAGAATAATGATGCTGCTTAAATGTTTTTTATCCATTAAATTCCATGACACTGCTGGACATGTGCATTTCTGAGCTCTGCAAGTCATGCATGTAATCACAGCACATGAGCAACGATTTTTCAATAGGACATGCAGAAATTAAGCACAGCTAACAAAATACATTTACATTGTCTCTTTTTTGTTTTGCTCAATGCTGGTGCTTCTACCACTTAAACCACAGCTCCACTTCCAGCTTTTTGGTGCTTAACTGTAGGTAAGTATCTTATAGACTGCCCAAGTTAACTTTGAACTTCCATCCTTATATATCAGCCTCCTGAATACATAAGATTACAGACAGGCTCCAGTGGCTCATGCCTGTAATCCTAGCTACATTGAAAGCTGAAATCTGAGAATCAAGGTTTGAATTCAGCCTGGGCACATAAATCCATGAGAGTCTTATCTCTGATTAACCAGCCAAAAGCTGTAACTGTATGTATGGCTCAGTGACAGTGCCAGCCATGAAGATTAAACCACAAACAAGAACTTGAAGCTAGGGTTCAAAGTCCCAGTACTGCCACCCCATCCCAATTAACAGCAACAACAACAACACAAAACAAACTAAAGTCAAATGTGGTAGTATACACCTGAAAAAAACTTGGGAGGTGGAGGCAGAAGGAAGAAGAGTCAGAGGCTATAGAGTGAGTTCTAATGCAGCCTGAGCTATGTGCCAGAAACTAAAAAGAGTAAGAATCTGTCACTATTTTTTCTCTTGTAATCTGAGAGGTATTTAATAGTATACCCCTTGTCACCATGGACTAACTAGTCCTATTGCAGTTTTTATATCTAGAATTAAATAGTTGTCACCCAAGGACTCTGAGTTTGCAAAGACAGTCTGAGAAGAAACAGACAACTGTATGTATATGACATGACCAGGGATGCCATTATAAGACAAGGAAAAAGGGTTTTGTTTTTTTCCAGTCCTGGGGTTTGCACTCAGGGCCTTGGCCCTATCCCGAAGCGCTAGAGAACAGCCCCTGCGCAGTTAGGATCACAGGCATGAACCACTAGCGCCAGCTTCACAAGTTTTGAACAGTGAGAAGCTGACATAAGCACTATGGGTAGAAGGCTAAAAACACCAGGCTGAACAGTCATTTCTCCAGCAAGTACTAAAAGGCAGATATTGTAAAGGAGATGAGAATGTGAAATCATAAATATATAAACATATCTGTTAGGCAGATTTGTTGCTATGACACAAAAACAGCTTTATTATGTACAGAAGTGAGATTTTTAACTGTTCTGGTTATGCTGAGAGCAAACATGTTGAATTCCATATGGCCCGTCCAGGGTCCCCGCCTCACTTGGGGCATGTCTGCAATTTTCCTTTTTCTGCTTCTTCCCATACCAGCACTGGCAGAAAACAGACTCCTGAGGTCCCCAACCAAAACTCTGGGTGCAAACTAGGCACCAGTAGCTCATGCCTATAATCCTAGCTATTCAGGAGGCTGAGATCTGAGGACTGCGGTTCAAAGCCAGCCTGGGTAGGAAGGTCTGTGAGACTCTCCAATTAATCACCAGAGAACTGGAAATGGTGCTATGGCTCAAAAGAACTAGCCTTGAGCTGAAGAACTCAGGGACAGTGTCCAGGCCCAGGGTTCAAGCCCCACAACTGACAAAAAAGAAACAAAAAAAACCCCCAAAACCACTCTGGGTGCAAAATCCGTTTAAGTGTCCTTAATTTTGATGAGGTTCTACAGGTTTGGAAGTACAAAAGGTATAATCAACTTTACCTTCTGTACTTACCAAGGTACTTCAGAGAAAAATGATAAAGGCATGTTGGATTCAAATATTTTGCTTTAGAACCACTTCTACCCAATACTTACCTTAATATTTTAAGAGAGTTTTCTTGTGATCAAGTACACAGACTCTAGCCTAAGATATACTAGAGTTTAAATTTGGACTCTGCCACTTAATATCACATCACCTTGGGCTGAGATATGTTCATTGAAGCTATCCTATAGATGTTAAGTATTTTCTTACCTGCCATCTTATTTTTGAAATATATTAATCTTATTGTCTCCAATCCTAAAAGATTTAAAGATCCTTCACTATTTAGTGGTCGAACCTAAAATAATAAAAAATGAAATTAGTATTTCAACAAAACTTAAATCATCTGGCCTATTGAGTACATACTATTAAGACCTTTCTATGAAGACCTTTCATTCGTTTCAAAATATAGTTCTCACACTGAATGATGGTGATCACACCTGTAATCCTAGCGACTGAGGAAACTGAGATCGGAGGATAGTAGGTTTGAAGCTATTCTGGGCAGGAAAGTCTGTGAGACTCTTATCTACACCAAAGTGGCAGAGCACTAGCCTTGAGCAAAAAGCTCAGTGACAGTGCCCAGGCTCTGAGTTCAAGTCCTAAAACCAACACAAAACAATAAATACAGTCTTCTCAGAAAAACCTCAACAGAGGTAATGATAATTTTGCTTAAGAAGAGATACTCTAACATGAGCAAGTAAACTTTGAGTAGCATTTTAAAGAAAGAATACCCTGGGCAAATAAATAAAATTCAATAGGAATATACTTAAATCTGTTTCTTTTGTTTTGCCAGTCCTGGGGCTTGAATTCAGGGTCTGGATGCTATCCCTGAGCTTTTGTGCTCAAGACTAGGGCTCTACCATTTTGAGCCACACTTTCACTTCTAATTGTTTTTTTTTTTTTTTCTGTTTTGCTTTTGGGGTTTTTTGGTGATTAATTGGTATTAGTCTCACAGACTTTCCTCTGGGTTGGCTCTGAACCATGATCCACAGATCTCAGCCTCTTGATTAGCTAGGATTATAGGCATGAAGCCACCAGTGCCTGGCTATATTAAAATCTTAAATTCATCTGTATGTGTATATATGTGTGTGCACCTGTTGGTTCTGGGGCTTGAACTCAGGCCTGAGTGCTATCCATGAGCTCTTCTGCTCAAGTCTAGTGGTTTCACTTTTAGCTTTTTTGGTAGTTAATTGGAGTCTCATAGATTTTACTGCCCAGGCTGGCTTTGAACTGTGATCCTCAGATCTTAGCCTCCTGACTAGCTAGGATTGCAGATATGAGCCACTGACACTTGGCTCTTAAATTTATCCTGTAAAAGTCATTAGTGACCAATAATTATATTAAGAAGCTATCAACACATCTGCCTTAATGAGTTCTTGTCATGAAATACAACATGTCCACAAATGACGGAGATGACATGGAAAAGCACCACCAGGAAATGGTAAGGGAACAGCTGACTATATGAACCAAGAAAACGGAACCCTCCCTCATATAACATGCAGGAAATCAATTCTGAATCTATTAAAGATGGACATGGAATAGGCATATTTCTATTATGGAGGAAACAATACATTTTGACACATTTATGCCTGGTGGCAGCACAGCAGACTTGAAGGAACACAAAGGAAGGTTGAACCTTTATGACTTCGAGGTAGAAAAATTCCATAGAAAGGAATAAAAAGGACAAATGTAAACAAAAGGAAAAGTATGGGCTGAGAAGGTGGCTCAGTGGTAGAGTGCTTGCTTTGTATGCATGAGGCCCTGAGTTTGATTCCTCAGCACCACATAAGCAAAAAAAAAAAAAAAAAAAGCCGGAAGTGGCTCAGGTGGTAGAGCGCTAGCCTTGAGCTGAAGAGCTGAGGGACAGCGCCCAGGCCCAGAGTTCAGGCCCCATGACCGGACCCCTCTCCCGCCCCCACCCCCCAAAAAAGAAAAGGGAAAGTACATTTAACTCAGTAAATTTAACAACTTCTATTCAGGAAAATCTGTCATAAACATGAACAGAGATGCCACAGATTTACCTCATCTGTTATTAATATCCACACTCTATAAATGACTCCAATGAGAAAAACATGGCAAACCCAACACAAAATATGAGCCAACAACATGACCAGGCATTTCATTTAAAAGGAAAAATGAATGTAGAAAATGACCAGGCATTTTGTAAGAAAAAGTATGGATGATGAACAAATAGAAAATATTCCTAGCCACACAGTTTACTGGTCTCACACAAACTGATACTTGGATGATACAAGTCTTGCTGTCACTACCTACAAAACTGTGGGCTAGATCTGATGAGAATGCGTCTCTGCTTTTGATGGGGTGGCACTAAGGAAAAATATGACATGACTGCACAGAGCTGAACAACTGAGTTCAGCGAGTCCCACCACCTCCACCCCAGTTACATGCTGTCAGGAAGCCCTTCTCATTACTGCATAGGTAACGATAACTCCTCTGTAGATCACCTTTACCATAGAAATAAGTTAAAAAATAAGTTAAAGAGAAAAAACTAAAAAAACTGTCTTCACACCTCTACCAGCATACGGGTGACAGTGGTCACAAGCTTATAAACTATGATTAACTCAGCGTACACCAATCAGAGGATGAATAGACAGGAACAGTCACCACACAAGCTGTTTATAATACTGAAAATGCACCACTTGGAGCTATTCATGGGAACTGTATTAACACAGGGAGCAAATAGAGTTAAGTCATCAAGTGATAGCACATTATAATATTTTAATAAATGGCAAGCCAACCCAAACTAGGTAACATTGCTTAGAAATACTGAGAAATGCAGAGCCTGTAAATTGTAAGGAAAGGAACAGGATAATAAACAGGATGGTGATTTTCTGTGGGGTGAGACAGGGTGGATGGAGAGAAGACACAGAAGCTGTAGTGACAGTGGTAATGTTCTGGTCTCAGGGAAGGAGGTGAGATCACAAGTGGCCCGTTTATTATGTTACACTAACGTCATGTATTCTCTCACATATATTACAAAAATTATATGAAGAGTTAAACAGAAAGATGGCTATAGCCAGCCCAGATTTACAAAGCAGACCCTATTTCAGTAGTTTTAAAGGGTGACTACATTTGAGAGCTGTTATCACTGCTGCCATGGTTTAAGACTGCCCACATTTTGGAGTATGAATCTGGCTATTTTATTTTACCTGCTTCTCTAAGCTACCCCTCAGTAAGGACATGGGGGCTCATAGACCATATGTATTTGAGTACATTCCAGTTTTTCAAAATAGCAGTTCTACATGTGCAAAAATTTTCTTTATGTATGGAAACAGTAAGGGAAAATATGTATTTGCATATGTGAAACCTCTATTTTTAAATAATTAAACCCCTAAATAGTTTTTATTCTAAGTCTGATTACTTTCCTGGTTTGTAAAATCTGTCTATTCAGGAATAAACAGTATATACTATCATGTGCAAAGGGTACAATGAATACTAATCATGTTCTCCCTCAATACATCTTAGAAGATGACACTGACATTTTATGTTGTGGGCTAAATTCCAGTTACTCATCATAGCAATCAGACCATATATGTTTATTTCTGTGTGTCCGAGTATGTGGTAATAGTGCAATAAAAATAGTGTCACATTGAGCTTCATATCATAAAATCAACCAGTTTAGTCAGACTTTAACATCACCTTTTTGAGAGGAAGAGTCTGAATCCATTCCATGGAGTTGACATCAAAGATATCGACTGCATTTTCACTGTATACTGAGAGATAGGGTGCGTTGTAACCTAGGAAGGGCAAATGAGGAGGAGCCTGGTGGTTATGTGAATCTTGAAGATTGAAGCATTTTGAAAGGTCTATTCTATGTAAATGTAGAGTGGAATCTCACCCAAATCTTATCTTTATCATATAAGAATATCAAAACATTTTTTCCTTGTATGCTAATCCTGGAGCTTGAACTCAGGACGTGGGTACTGTCCCTGAGCTTTTTGCTCAATGGTAGCACTCTATCACATGAGCCATATTCTGACTTTATGGTACTTAATTGGAGGTAAGAGGCTCACAGGGCTTTCCTGCTCAGGCTGGCTCTGAATTGTGATCCTCAGATCTCAGCCGCCTGAGTAGATAGAATTAACAGGAGTGAGCCCCTAGCACCCAGAAATCCAAACATTTTTGAAGAAAATAGAATATAATTCATAAAGGAAGAATTGACACACCATGTTGGCCAGGTTCCAGTGGCTCACGCCTGTAATCCTAGCTACTCAGGAGGCTGAGATCTGAGGACTGTAGTTTGAATCCAGTTTGGGCAGAAAGGACTGTAAAACTCTAATCTCCAATTAACACCCAAAGCTGGAAGTGAAGGGGTGGCTCAAGTAGTAGTGCACCAGCTATGAGGAAAAAAAAAGCTCAGGGACAGCACCACCCACATGAAGTTCAATGACTACATTTACTTGAAGTAGAAGAAAAAAGGAAGGAAGAGCAAAGATAAAGAATCTCCTGGGAGAGAGCAAGGAAGGGATGTCATTGTTTAAAAAGTAAGTGGGGTGCTGGTGGCTCACGCCTGTAATCCTGGCTACTCAGGAGGCCGAGATCTGAGGATCATGGTTCAGAGCCAGCCTGGGCAGGAAAGTCCATGAGACTCTTTTCTCTAATTAACTACTAGAAAACCAGAATTGGCGCTGTGGCTCAAGTGGTAGAGCGCTGGTCTTGAGCTGAAGAGCTGAGGGACAGCACCGAGGCCCAGAGTTCAAGCCCCACGACTGACTTAACCCCCCCCAAAACAAAACAAAACAAACGTACTCTCTACCTGACTTATATGACTGTAACCACCTCTGCACATCACCTTTATAATAACAGTTTATAAAAACAGTTGTTAAAGAAAGCAAGAATCTTACAACACGAGGAAGGATTTGCGGGCCACATCAACTCCTGCTGTCGGGATCTCCGCCCCTGGCAGTCGGTGTATATCCCAATGCTGTTAAAACACAGCAGGTATTCTTTACTGGAGATCTCAACCGCGCAGAGAGCATCCATTGGCTGGTGTGTTAGAAATGACAGTGTGTGGTCATTTGAATGAAGCAGACTGCAGGGCCCTCCGTCTCCATTCAAAGGATATCTGAGAAATCCTGACTGGAATCCCACACAGAGTTGTTCACTGAAGACTGCCATCCACTGGACAGTATATGGAACTTGAAGTTCCTTAAACTTTCTGTGGCGTGTCTTGCTCTGAGACAGCTCATAGCAGAGGACCTGCCTTTTCATGGCCACACAGAGGCATGTCAGAGCCCCATGGCGCACTCTTCCAGCAGTTATAGTCTGACACCCTTTAGTTTCTGCCAGCTTATAAAAATCTGTCTCTCGCCCATCCAAAGCCGACATAGGAAAGAGCCGCACATGACGATTTCGTCCTGAGATCACAGCAACAAGCTGCTCGTTTGGAATGAGTTCAATCTGATGAATCTTCTTATTGTCACCAACTCTAATAATTTCTACACACAGAAATAACAAATCAAAGGCAAAATGGTTTCAAAGTGGTTATCCGCTGAGGTGCTTCAATTTTAGACAAAAGGACATGCATGCACTTACAATAAACACACACAGACATTCATAGAAGAAAAAACTAGAAATCAAGAGGACAAAGAGAGCATTTCCCTCACTGGCTGTAGGCATTCATTTAGCACTGACCGCTGGAAGGCTAAGGCAGCGTTCTTGAGCAGGAGTATGTCAGATCTTCCAGGAAAACATGTTTCCTGGCACTAAATTCTAGGGAACTTCACTTGGGGCTCCTGAAGCGTTTCTATGGCTAACAAACTAGCCAGATTTAAGTGACATTTTTTCTCATAATCTAACCTGAAAGAAAGATAGAACTCAGAATACTTTATTCATGAATACTAAACTAAATTGCTTTCCTCTTTATTTCATTCACCATCTAATTTCTCTCTAGGAGGGAATTTCAAACAAATGTAACCTATTTTAATAGCTGTTACATACTTATGAAACAATGGGAAAATCAGGTTGTATTTTATTTGTATTTTAGTGCACACGAGTGTACTAGCCTTGGGTGAAAAAAGCTCAGGGACAGCACCCAAGCCCTGAGTATAAGCCCTAGAGTAGGCATGAGTACATGCACGTGTGTATGTGCACGAGCACATTTCAAAAGAAACGTTTACTGAATAACTGATTAAAAATGCAGAAATGCAATCTGAGTCACATAGCAACATGGTAAATTAAAATGCACGAGTAGATGATACAGTTAAAAGTTTTAGAACTTAGGTTATTTTATAGTTTTTTTTAAAAAAACACTTGATTTAGCAATCAAATTATGCCCAGAACATTTCAGTTATAGAATGACTCACACAAAATCCTGCTCTTTAACTTAATCTCAAGAATTTTCTAACATGACTTAAAATCGCTCTACCATAATTGGATTTTTTCTTACCATCTTTGGTGACATGAACAACAAATAACCCTTCTTCATTTCCCAAAGCTATTCTTTCATGATCTGTGTAGGACACAAGATGGAAACATATTTAATAGATAAAAAAATCACATAAAGTCAGCAGAATAAACCAAATAAGAAAATTTGGTGGAAGAATAAAAATTTAAAAAATAGCCAGGCTCTGGTGGCTCTCGCCTATAATCCTAGCTACTCAGGAGGCTGAGATCTGAGGATCACGGTTCAAAGCCAGCCCAGGCATGAAAGTCCATGAGACTCTTATCTCCAATAAACCACCAGAAAACAGGAAGTGGCGCTGTGGCTCAAGTGGTAGAGCACTCACTTTGAGCGCCCAAGCCCAGAGTTCAAGCCCTATGACCGACCAAAAAAACAAAAAACAACAAAAAAAATCTAACAGCTTACACTATTAAGTTACCTTTCAGATTAAAGTGATAAACATGTCAGGCCTTTTCAAACACAACAATTATTAAAAAAAATCTATTGTCAGGCACCAGTGGCTCACATCTATAATGCTACCTACTCAGGAAGCTGAGATCTAAGGATTTTGATTTGAAGCCAGTCTGGACATGAAAGTCCATGAAACTTACCTCAAATTAACCACCAAAAAGAAGAAAATGGAGCTATATCTCAAGTGCACAAGCCTGGGACAAAAAAGCTCAAGGCCAGCAACCAGGCCCTGAGTGTAAGCCCCAGGATTCCAATACATATCAAAAGCAGTAAATGTTTCCTAAGTAACTGATTAAGAACTTAGAAGCCCCACTTGCTAGTGCCCCAAGTCCATTTCCTTGTGCTGCTTGCAGAGGGAAAGATAGCCAAAGGCTTTGAATAGCACTCACTAAACTTCTCAGTACTGATTGACCAGTAACAAAGAACTGGATGTCAGAACTTAAACCTCTGTGTGCTGAAGCCACAATTTACTAATGCGAGCATTTTAAATGCCACTTCACTGTGCTGCGCGTGCGTGCGTGCGTGCCTGTGTGTGTGTCATGCTTTTCAAGCTTCTTGAAAACCTGGGCAAGGTACTCAGTATTTATGTGTGACAGATGAAACTTACACTCTAACAAATTAATGTGTTCTAGTTCATATAAGTAGGAAATATTTAAATAGGTTAATTAATTAGTTTTAGCTCAGTTGCTTTCTCAGAAGAAAATATACTTGTAACTGTTTGCTGCTAAACAGGGACACAGAATGAACATGTACCGAAGTCTGGAATGCACCAGGCATCTGTCAGACCAGAGGGACTCCTAGACAGAGGCAGTTCCAATTCATAAGGAGGATCAGTGAACCATTATGACGGTATGAGAAATGTTCTAAATTCCCACCTATGATTGCAGCAGCCTGGGTTGTTTTGATGAGGGGGAGTGTGCTGTCATATGCCTCTTTGGGAACATAGACAGAGCGGTCTCTGAATTTATTTTTCTTCAAAATCTTGTGCAATTCACTGAGCACTCCCACCCACTTGCTCTTCTCATTCTCACTATCTGCCAGCAGCAGGATGGAACATTTGTTGTTAGATGCTGAGAGCTGGGAAGCTGTGACCTGCAACAATTCAACATTCATGGTGTTAGAAAACAGATCCTGAGTGCTAGTTCGGTTATCCAAGTGGTTTAGCATCACCAAAACAATGTGCATTCATTCAATGATACCTTCAGCCATTCCCTAGTTTTCATGACAAGGCAAAAAGAGATACCATTCAAAACATTAGTGTTGTTTTAGTTTTCCAATTATAATAAGAACACTACATTAGCACCAGAACACAATCCTAAGAAATTACACATACTCTTTACAACTACTAAGCGCCAGTATGACCTCTCAGCACTTTTCTTTCTTTTTTTTTTGGGGTCTGGTTGGGGGGCCTGAACTCTGGGCCTGGGCGCTGTCCCTCAGCTCTTCAGCTCAAGGCTAGCGCTCTACCACTTGAGTCACAGCGCCACTTCCGGCTTTTTTCTTTTTGCTTATGTGGAGCTGAGGAATCGAACCCAGGGCCTCAGGCATGCAAGGCAAGCGCTCTACCACTGAGCCACCTTCCCAGCCCCTCAGCACTTTTTGAAGTGTTTATTCATCTAACTCCCTTCATGTCTTCATCAGATAGGAACTGCTGTCTTACATTCTCATCTAATGTATGAGAAAAGGGGATACTGGTGAAGAATTTCCTCAAGAGTGCGTAGAACATGGAGTCCCACACTGTGCAGTGGTCAGGAATGCTCAGATATATTTACTTTGTTCCTTTACAACAATAGCTCCCACTATCATTAAGGAGTAGTCACAATCAGAACAGCTTTAAAATTTACATCGGAAGTCTCTGTCAAGCCTCAGAAACAAACCACATGGTTCCCCTCCCTCCTGGATGTGGAGGGAGGGGAGAGATTAATAGTATGAGAACTGAGATGAACCTCAGGTTTACTCTTTGAATTTCCTTCAACAGAAGATGAGTAGACAAATAGTAATCAGGGCAGGCAGAAAAACAGAGAAGCTGAAAAAAATCTCTTCTGTCTTAACTCACCATGCCAAAATTACATTTAGGTGAACAGCCTGTCCACAATTCCACTCTTATCAAGAAGTGGGTCTATTTCTCCTCCCCTTAAATCTTATGATTTCCTTTGATCAACACACTACCTAAGGGACATGTTTGGGCCTAGTTCTTACAAAGCCTGGAAGCTATTTTAGCTCTCTTGAAGGAGCCAGTCAGACTTTCAGATAGTTAAGAGACCACAGAGAGGGTCCACAAAAGAAAACTGAGGGAGGTCTCCCAGCTGACACCAAGACAGCAGATTAAAGAGTACAGTCATTTGGATTTTCTAGTCCCAAATGAACTGAACGCAGCCACAGGTGTGACCTCAGCCCACACCTCAGTAATTGGGCAGCCAACCAGCAGACTGGTGAAGAATGCAAAAGCACTCTTGCCCTGAGCTACTAAGTCTTGAAATAGTTGTTACAAAGCAAAATAGCAGGATCACAATTTTTAAAATGAGTTTACAGAAACTTTTTTTTAAACTCGAAAAACTTCACATTTATCCAATTGTCCTCAAAGGAGTACTTATCTGAAAACTAAACTGGGATTCAAAAATATGAGCTAACAGCAAAATACACTTTAGAAGTCACATATTCACACTTTCTACTTGCATTTCCTAACTTAAACTTAGCACTAACTTTCTATATACTCAAGTACTAGGGGATATGGAATACATAAAGGAATGTAACATCTGTTTTTTTTTTTTGGGTCCGGTCGTGGGGCCTGAACTCTGGGCCTGGGCGCTGTCCCTCAGCTCTTCAGCTCAAGGCTAGCGCTCTACCACTTGAGCCACAGTGCCACTTCCAGCTTTTTTCTTTTTGCTTATGTGGTGCTCAGGAATCAAACCCAGGGCCTCAGGCATGCAAGGCGAGCACTCTACCACTGAGCCACCTTCCTAGCCCCGTAAGATCTGTTTTATTCCCAGTACATTGATGATTTATCTGGAGAAGCAAAACATATTCTTTTTTTTCGGTCGGTCATGGGGCTTGAACTCTAGGCCTGGGCACTGTCCCTGAGCTCTTCAGCTCAAGGCGAGTGCTCTATCACTTGAGCCACACCACCACTTCCAGTTTTCTAGTGGTTTATTGGAGATAAGAGTCTCATGGACTTTCCCGCCCGGGCTGGCTTTGAACCACAATCCTCAGATCTCAGCCTCCTGAGTAGTTAGGATTATAGATGTGAGCCACCAGTGCCCAGTTTCAAAACATATTCTTACAAACAAAATAATTCAGCTAGTCACACCTGCAGTGCTACCTACTCAGAGGAGACAGAGATTAGGAAGATGGTGATTTAAGACCAGCCTGGGCAGAAAGTTTCAGGACTCCATCGCAAATGATCTCTGTCAAATGTGACAAATTTGTCAGCCTACTTATGTAGGAGAGGTTGAGATCCAAAGGACCCCAAGTTCCAGTACAGCCTAGAGGAAAAAGTTCATAAGCCTCTCACCTCAACAAAAAGGCTGGCATGTCAGAACACACCTGCCAGACTAGTTATGGTGGGAAGTGCAAATAAGATAATCACAGTCCAGGCAAAAAGGGAGATCTCTCTCAAAAATAACCAGAACAAAAAAGGGGCTAGGGCCATGGCTCAAGCAACAGAGCATCTACCTACTACAAGGACCTGAGTTCAAATACCAGTACCACAGAAAAACAAAACCAAGCCAAAACCAATTTAAGTTCTCAAATTATAACATACACTTACCCTAAATATACAGGGTACATCTTTTCGGCTTGCATGAATCACATCAGAGGCCAGGACTGAACTCACAGAAAATTCTTCATCTCTGGAAAAAAAAGGTGAAACATCAGAAGTTGGGACACATGGCTGTGTGTGTGTGTGTGTGTGTGTGCGTGTGTGGCTGTGTGTGTGTGTGTGTGTGGTGTGTGTGTGTATGTGCGTGCGTGTGTGCGCGCGTGCGTGCGCATATGTGGGTTCTAGTCCTAGGGCTTAGACTCAGGGCCTGAGCACTGACCTTTGTTGGGAGCAGACTGTAAAGTTTAAAGGTCATCTTAACTCTGGTGCTACTTGAAGGCATGTACAAGGAACTGGCTTACTTAAAAAACACCAGGTGCCCGGGATTGCTTTGCTATGTCTGCAGAGTTTGTTTTACTTTCTACCAGTTGGCCTTGTCCTGTTTTTACTGCACTCTGTTTTTACTGAAATTTTATTTGTTTTTCTGGACTATTGTAACCTTATGTTACCTCTTGACTTATTAGTATACATTAGGGAAAGTTAAAAATGAATGGTGCTGCAGTCTTGAGCTGCAGACCTCCCGAACCCATCCTTTGTCTTATGTCTTTATTTTTCCGCATCCTCGCCCCCTAATTCAGGATTCCCTTTGGTTGCAGGCAGACTCCGGCAGACCTTGAGCTTTTTTGCTCAAGGCTATTGCTCCACCACTTGAGATACAGCTCCACTTCAGGCTTTTTGCTGGTTAATTGGAGATAGGAATCTCATGGACTTTTCCACCTAGGATGGCTTCCAACCATGATCTTCAGATCTTAGCCACCTAGTAGATAAGATTACAGGCATGAGGGGCTGGGAAGGTGGCTCAGTGGTAGAGCGCTTGCCTTGCATGCCTGAGGCCCTGGGTTCGATTCCTCAGCTCCACATAAGCAAAAAGAAAAAAGCCGGAAGTGGCGCTGTGACTCAAGTGGTAGAGCGCTAGCCTTGAGCTGAAGAGCTGAGGGACAGTGCCCAGGCCAGAGTTCGGGCCCCATGACCAGACCCCCCCCCCAAAAAAAAAAAAGATTACAGGCATGAGCCACTGATGCCTGGCCATGCATGTGCGTTTGTGTGCAGTTTTACTTATACAACTAAACAGCACATGGGAAGAAATCCTTATAACTTAATTGCTTAAAACACCCAAATTAAATGTTAAAAAATTATTTTCCCCTACAGTAATAGATCTTAAGTGACTTACCACTTAAAACAATAAACAATAAACAGTTGGCACATCATACATGTGACAGAAATAATCACTGGCTAGCCCAAAGAAGCAAGAGCAGAAGAACTCCATGTAGAACTGAGACTTGAACTCCACTGCAAAGTGGAACCTCTTCTCTTCCCAAATAAACCAGACATGTGCTCAAGCCCGATCATCTGACCTTCTCTTGTCCTTGTAACATCTCAAACAGACTTCCTACGTGTAACTTATTCTCTATAACTTTTTTACTTTTGGTACTGGTATCTTCATTCCCTCAGTCTTAAAGACATCCTTGTCTTATCTTGGATCCTTCTCTCTCCTTCACTTTTATTTTTTTAAGGGACAGAGGTCTCACTGTTGCCAGGCTGGTCTTAGAGACTCTTGGGCCTTTTCACTTTCCTGCCTTTTAAAATGCTCAGCCCCTTAGCCAGTTCTGCCAGGTTTCCTGGCTGTGTCTCTGTATTTGGTGGAGGATAGCGTGGTTGGCCTGCAGGTATGGAGCAGCAGTGTGGGCCTGGGCCTGAGTGTGGGTCTGAGTGATGGGTGGTCATTTCTGAGGAGTCGGCTCTGCAGAGGTGGCAGCTGATGCTGTGGGAGGGAGGGAGACTTCTCTGGGACAGCCCTGCAGTTAGAAGGAAAGGAGGGCACTCCCAGGGATGGGGAACAATCTGGAAAATGAAAATCGAAGAGATTCTGACTCAAATGGTTCCTGTTTTCAGTATGTTTTCCGAGAGCTTGCCTGAGCTTCCCTTCCCTTCCTCGCACTGAACCATTCTACCCCACTCGCACTGAACCATTCTACCCCACTTTTGATGATGATCTGAAGAGTACCCAAACCCACATATCAGCTTGTCCAAAGCTACTCCTTACTTCCTGCTACTTATGAGGTTATAGTAGAAAACCAACACAGAGCTAGATTATATGACTCAAAAAATGATAACATACAAGAAAGTTCAAAAGCATTCTTGTCCTATGCCCAGCAACTCACAGCGCCCCCCAGGCTTACCTCATGTCGATCACCTGACTGATGACCACACTGGGTTGAGAGGCTTTTCCTTCAGCGATATCATACAGAAAGAGTTTGAAATCACAGACCACAGCCAGAGCTCTCTGCCATCCTTTCTTCACTCCCGCTGGCTTAGGGATCTTAGTTTTGTGACAGACAAACACACAATTCAAATGAGAATGTCACAGGAGCCTCTTTAGTCCCTGAGGCAATGTAGGGGAAAACCTCAAGGTAACGTATCCAAGTTCGAAGTCCAGTACACTGGGTAGCGAAGCAGCAGGTGGGACACAATCACTAACGAGGGAAAAGTGGTAACATGCTCTTCAAATACTGAAGGACTTGGCCTCTGACTGAAAGGTTCAAGGTACCAATTGAACCCTAATAATTCATTAAAATAATATCTATGTTTTTTTCCTAAATAGCATGAGGAAAATTTGATATGATCAAATTCAGCTCACATTATAAATATTACCCCAAAAACCAAGACTGTGTCTTGATATTTTCTCCTCTTATCCACATTTCACCTCTTGAGCAAGGCCAGTGGCCAAAATTTCTTTAAGGCAATTTCAATATCTGTTTACTACAAGACAGGGAACATACAGAGATGTATGCATTGTTTTAGAATTTATTTCCAAGTAAAGGGTAATTACTTTGGATGAAATAAGATTATTTAGTTGAATTTTATTCATCTGACTTTCCATCAAGTAGAATGCTCATAAAAGCAACTCAGGGGGACTCAATTCTCCTTACTCTCCATGATACTCACCCTGACATGGCCTTCATAGGCTGTTCCCACTCCTTTTTGTGGATCTATGCCCAGGGGACCCTTTGTCTGCTCAGGAGGAACTGGACAGGCAGTTGGAGCTTTGTTTACACAAGTTATGTGACATGAGAAGCCACATACTTTTGGAAGAAAAAAGATACGTTCAATGAGAATTCATTTTAACAACAACAACAGAATTCACTGCACACACAGTGCTATTCTAGATGAATTTTTTTAAATTTTATATTTGGCCAGTCATGGGGCTTGAACTCAGGGCCTCGGCACTTTCCCTGAGGTTTTCTACTCATGGCTAGTTCTCTACCACTTAGAGCTTCACTTCTGGATTTCTGATGGCTCCCTGTAGATTAAGAGTCTAGTGGACTTTCTTGCCCAGGCTAGCTTAACTATGATCCTCAGATCTCAGCCTCCTGAGTAGCTAGAATTACAGGCATGAGCCACCAGCACCTGGTTCTTATTTTCTTTTGAACAACTGTGAAACATTTGGGAAACTGATTCACTGCTTACCAGTAAGAATCTCAGTAACAAGTGACGAAAAATCTTTAACAATTTTGTAGCATTAGTTTTCTGTTAACATTAGTGATCAAAGTGAGAAGCAAATGAGTAATGACTATCTAACCTTGAAAAATAATTCCTAATGAAGGACCTTCAGGAGTTCACTAGCTCTTTATCCTATAGTAGCTTGGATCTACCAGAAACTTTCCTTGAGAGTCACTGGTAAACTTCTGATACCTTTGCCACATCTGGCAAGTTTTTTAAAATAAAAATTTTAATGAGAAAGAGCTAAACAGCATAATTTTGGAGTTATAACCTTCTATAATTCTTAAATTATGTATAGAACAGAGTTAATTTCATTGGACATTTGAAGAATGTTTCTGAGACAAGAAGGAGAGATACAATTATTATCCCCACGGCGCACATGCCTTGCTCAGGGCCAGAGCTCAGAAGCAGTAGTACCAGGGTTCAAACCCCATGAGTGCAGTTCTGAGTCTGCATGTCTTCCTACCAGTACTACTGCATAATCCCTCTATTTGGTTCACATGGTAAGCTTGAGATTCTAATGAAAGTCAGGTTTTATTGACACTTGGGTTGATGAAAAATTAAAGGTTAAAATATTTAAAACAAAAAGGCTTGTTGGCAGGATTTAAGATTATAATCCTCACTACAAAGCTGGCTCCTGCACAAATACTGGGAAAATAAGAGGAACCAAAGGCCGCTGAGAACACATCCACATCCAGTGCTCATTTACAACCAGCAGGGAGGCAGTATGGCGTAATACTGAGAAAAGCTATCCAAACGTCTTCATTCACCTTTCCTTTTTGTTGGCATCAGAGTTTGGAATCGGGCATCTACACTTGCATGCTTGTTTCACTCACTTGCTCTGCTGGTGTTCTGAAGCCACACTTCTAACCTTGAATTCATTTTTAAATGAGATGTCTAATAAATTATAACCTGTTATACTGGTAAATAAAAGTTTCACCTCCAAGGGCAGTGAAAATGACAAAAATATGCTCATATATTGTATCTAATTCCACCCAACTAGGAAGAAATAAAAATGGCAGAATGTAACCACATTTCCACAACATTTACAAAAACCTGTCATACAAAGGCTAGAGACAGTCTAATGTCCCCATGACTTAAGATAAGCATCAAAAATCTGAAAAAAAATAGGGAAGAAGATAAAATGGCTTTAAAAGAGCTAAAAAATACATCCTGCTATGAGCTGGGCATCAGTGGTTCATGCCTACAATCTTAGCCAAAAATGAAGGTTCAGAGCCAGCCTGGGCAGAAAGTCCTTGAGACTAACCAGCAAAAGAGCCAGTCTGGAGGTGTGGCTCAAGTAGTAGAGGACCAGCTGTGATTAAAAAATTGCTAAACAAGAATGCAAGGTCCTGAGTTGAAGCCCCACTGCCAACACTCTCTCTCTCTCTCTCTCTTTCTCCCCCCTACCATGGAGTTAGGACCTAAGGCTAGGTGGTTGTCTAAGATTCTTTCTGATAAGCAAATTATAAAGACATTCAAGAACTAGCTAAGGATCAACATGAGATAAAACTAGACACCTACACAAATTCTTTCTCTGGTATCAGCTACACTCTCCTGGTCCTTGATAGTGGCTACTTCCTTTGAGGTTACTCTGCTGTCTTGCCATCTATACTCTCCAAGGCTTAGTCCTTGTCTTCACCCTTCTCAAACCTGTGCTCTCTAGACAAGGCTACTTCTATCCAGGACTTCACTCCTGGCCAGACCAGATAGATACATGCATGTATCCAATGAGATAGCAGAATCTGGATTTTTCTACTTTAGCTGTGAGAACTAATCACACATAAAATGCATTTACTATAGATGCTACTATTAATTTACTCCTTCTTCAAAGTAGTTAATACACACCAGATGCAAATACTAAGGGAGAACAAGCATCTAATGGGATGACAACATTCCCTTTTTAGTCCTTTCCAATATAAGAGCTAACAAATGGAAACTAGTATTAGAATTTGAATCAGCAGGTATTTTCTTATTTTTCATATGTTATGCCTATAAATAACATATTAGCTGGTTTTGTAGTGGCAAATCTCATTTGATAAAATAACAAATAATATATCCCATCATAGTGTTGATTATTTTCCTTTTTAGAGGTCCTAGGAAACAAAGTGGTGCCCAAACAAATATTCCTTGTTTTTAGTTTCAATAATCCTTGATCTTTTCTCTCTTTCTCCAGAATGTGAGCTCTTTGAGGCTCCTCTCTCTCTCTCTCTCTCTCTCTCACATTTACCACTGTACCTCAGACCAAGCATGCACCATAAACACAAGACAGGTAAATCAATGACTAAATCTCTGCTGTTGACACTAGGAATCAACTGTCTTTTGAGATAAAGTAGCAGATATTGATAATTTTGTCTCCTTTATAATACTACTTAAAAAATAAACAGGTCCAAGGATAATTTTCATGTTTTCTGTTTCAGATGCTAATGGCTTAGGGGACCACAGATTCGCCCAAATAATAAAACAAAGATGAATGAAGTCTACACCTCCTTTGAAAAGGTTTCTAGGGAGCAACAGTCTAGCTTCTCCAACATTCAACAGACGTGTGAGCAGGGTGTTCAGTTTATTAATTCTTGTTCTCCAGATAAAAGCAATGGCGAAGAAAACAAGCTACATTTTGTTGTCTTTGAAAGGATCACAAATGAGGCAACAAATGTTAGGAAGACCAAGCAAGTTGCTTCTTCTTCCTTTCTGTCCTTACCTTCACACGCACAGCCTTGTCTCATCAAACCCACCATCAAAGAGGTGCACTGATGGCACTTGGTGGGTGTTGTGAAAGACTTCACAAAAAACTGATGAGTCTTGCGCTGTAAAACAAGTTGACATAAGAAAAGATATATAATATTAGTCCTAGGCCACACCGCATTATAGGATGTTTTTTCTTTTCTTTTTGGTGCTAGAGACCAATCCAGGGTGCTATACTTGCTAGGCAGGTGCTTTACCACTGAACCCTAGAATGTACTCCTCTAATAGAAGCATTTCCATTTTTTTCACAACATCTTATACTCTATGCCCTTTAATATGTTTATTAGGCAACACCGAGAAGAAATATGCTAAAATGATTTAAGCTAAATGATAATTCCTTTTGAATATCATTGGTAAAGAATATAAACTGTAGCTTTTTGGGTCTTGCTTCAGAGAACAGCCAGAAGAGAAGAAAAGGAACAAAAATCTGGGAAGTCTAAGTGAAGACCTAAATTTTTACATGTGGTAATTTTGAATCAACGAGAATTAGTGATAGCCTTGAAATTCAAAGAAGTGGCTAGAAAAGTTCTCTTCTACTCCAATTTCACATGTGACCTCAAGGTCATGTCAAAGAAAGTATTTTATGAGCTCGGGCCCCATGCTTCCTTCCTCTGCTACTTGAGCCAGGTCCCTGGCCTTCTCAGGTTGATTCTCTGATACGCTCACACTTTTTTTGTCTGGTTCACCTTGGACTGCAGTCTTCCTTGTCTCCTACACAGCTGGGATTACAAGCGTACACTATATCTGGCTTGTTGAGATAGGGTTTTGCTAGTTTTTTGCCTGGGCTGGGCTCAAACTTGGGAGAACTCTGTCTCCCAAATACCTGGAATTATAGGCATGAGCTACCAGGCCTGGCCTACTTTGCTTCATTGTCTATTTTTCCTTTTTTTTTGCACTGGATTTTATTTTTAAAATTTTATTGTACAGGTGATGTACAGAGGGGCTATAATTATACAAGTAAGGTAATGAGTACATTTCTTTTTGGACAATGTCAACCCCCCTCATTTTCTCCCATTCCTGCCACCCAAGTTGTAAAGTTCATTTCCAAAACAGTGTCTAATGAGTATCACTGTTGTATTGGTTCACCCTTTGTCCCACTGTTTCTGTGATTCTCCTTCCCTTCCCCAAATCAGGTAAACTTACATACAAGACAAAGGATACCAAAATAAGTAACAATGACAACAGGAAATAAACCAAAGGAAAAAAGAAAGAAAAAATAAATAACTGCAAACAGCACACTAAAAAGAAACCTCGTTTCCATTTCTTGGAGTCATTTTGATAAGCATCACTTTGTATATTCATATGCACATAGCTACTGAGCTATTGTGATCCTCTACCAAGAATATCCTAGACATATTCTAGTTATTAGAAATGAGGGAAATCATGCAGCCTGCATTTCTTTGGGTCTGGCTTGCTTTTGCTTAATGAATTTTTTTCCAAGTCTTTCCATTTCCTTATGAATGGGTGATGCCATTCTTTCTGATGGAAGCATAGAATTCCACTGTGTATACATACCACGTTTTCTTGATCCAGTCATCTACTGAGAGGCAACCTGGGTTGATTCCTTATCTTAGCTATGGTAAATAATGCTGCAATGAACATGGTTGTGCTGATTTTCATTACACTTTTTGCTTTAAGCCAGGCTAGAGACTCTGGGAGAATCTAGATACATGTTAAGACTGAGACAGACCTGACGGAGGTTGGTGCACAGCCTATCAACACCAACATCAACAGCCTACCCTGGAAAGAAACTTTCAGCCCAGTGGAAACTTCTACAACCAACTAATCACAGCTACATGAGAGACTCCAAGGAAAAAACTCCAGGTGGACTCTACCCAAATTTAACTTATAAATGGTGAGCCTATGGAAAGACTTGATACAACTGAATACATAGTTATGTTTGCCTTCTCTTTTTTCATTCCTGTGTTCTTCCAATTAATATGGAACTACAGATTTTACAGTTCTGTAGGGTGAAGAGTCGTAACTTTTTATTTACTAATCTATCATCTTTCCAACTTATGACCCATATTTATGTTAACTTCCTTACTAAATTAGCAATATCTATTTGGAATATTACAAACATATTTAATGACATATAATGCCAGACATGTTTAAAACTCAAAAACCTATTAATGCCAGACATGTTTAAAACTCAAAAACCTATTAATACCTCCCCCTCCTTTCTTCTACAGTTCTGAGGATTGAACTTAAAGCCACTAGCGTTCCAGACAAGCACTCTATCTCTTGAGCACTACCCTTAGCCTTTTCCGTTATTTTTATTTATTTACTTCTGGTTTAGAGTCTTACTAACTACGCCCAGGATGCTGCTGAAATCATGATCCCGGCTTCTAACTCCACAGAAGATGCATGTATCATTTCCTCATTTCTTGATGAGGAAATGGAAGTGGAGAAAGGAGGTAACACGCTCCAGTGCACCAAGCTACCCTGAACCCATACTCTCTCTCCACACTAGACAAGAGCACCAGCATGATCACCTGGCCTCACTGCACTCAGTCCCACGTGCTGCATTTGAGATTTATTCTAGACTGTTTTGAACATACATTCCTTTTTTCTTTGTTGTGTATGTATGTTTGCAGTCTTTGCTTTTAGACGCCACAGTCACATCCTCTAAGGTATCTATTCAACTCTCCCAGATCTCTCATAGTGACCTCTTGCCTTTCTATCTCTTCTTGAAAAAACATTTCTCATAAGAGATCTGTTGTTTGGCTAATACTGGGGTTTGAACTCAGGGCTTCAAGCTTACCAGACAGGTACTCTACTACTTGAACCATTCCTCTAGCCTGCTCTAAGAGTATTTATAGAAGACTTTTATATAGCAAATCTTCTAAGTTCTTGTCCATCTAAAAGTATTTTTCAACTTGATCTTATATTTAAATGTTAGTACTACTGCTTCAAATTTTTAGATTCTTTTTCTTTAGTACTTTGAACATGCTTGTCAATTTTCTTCCATTGTTTGTGAGGCTTTTCATCTTTAATTTGGGAAAAAATTTAGGTCAGTATTTCTTGAACTAGATTTTGATGTTCTTTGAAAACATTTCTAACTTTTTCCACATAAACATTGTACTCTGCCTCATATATCCCTATCTTAAGAGTATTTATTATATTTAAGTTCATATTCTATCAGGCTTCATATTTTCGCTTTACTTTGGCATAAACTTATTTGGTTTATTCTCCTTCTTTAATACCAGTGGAATTTTTATATACATATACATTTGTTTTTTAGATCCACTGACATTTTTACTGTGGTTTCTCCAAGGCTTTATGTTTTGGAGAAGCAGATTATTTCATTTTTCTAGTATCTAGAGTACATTTGTAGGAACTTGGAATATGCAACCCCTAAGTTTTTGTGTCACCCTCATTCTGAATAGAGTGGAAAAACTTTTCCTAAACATTTCTTCCTCCAAGGTTTCTTCTGTCAGGGGCTTCTACTTGCAGCCTTCCTCAGGCACCAGTACGGACATGCAGCAGAGGGGGCAACATTCCTTCCTTTAACATACTTCAAAATACAAAACTTCAGGATCAGTGACCACTGTTCCTACCTTTCTCACTGGTGACTGGCTCCATGCATACAGAATTTTCTTTCTGTACCTTTATTTGTAGCTTTGAAGAAATTATTATCAAAACTCACGGCAAATAGACAAAGCAAAGGAAATTCACTCTCTCTCTCCCCCCTCTGGTGGAAAGAATACACTACAGTTTCAACTAGATTGAATACCTTAGGTGGAAAGCCAGTTGAACCAGGACATCCCTTTTTCCTTAAGGTTGGTGTATGGACTGGAAGTGGAGCCGAGTCTGCAATCTGAACCCAGGGGCAAAAAAAGAGTAAATGTCATGGAATGCTCCATTTATTTTATAACTAGAAAGAAACCAAAGTAAATAAAACCAAACCAAATATCAGTAAGGTGAATAGTTCTGCTAGCTAATCTTACTAAAGGTCTTATAGTACTGGTGGCTGAATTTTAGCCTGCAATGGTGATAAAGTATCTGTTCAATTTTTAAACTGTTTTAATAGAAATTTTAAAAATAATTTGGGATAAACAACCAGAATAAGTCATAGCATGCTACCTACATAAAAACAAGTATTTTAATTTTCATTCATCTGTATTTTCCATGTTGATTTTAAAGTATTTAAAAAATACTTCTAAGATTTTTTAAAATGGAAATTAACTGAAAATTTCAGTAGATTAGTGGGATTTTTGTGCAGAAACTTTTTTTTTTGGGTCGGTCATGGGGCTTGAACTCTGGTCCTGGGCGCTGTCCCTCAGCTCTTCAGCTCAAGGCTAGCGCTCTACCACTTGAGCCACAGTGCCACTTCCTGCAGAAATTTTTAAATAAGGGAGTCAAATTATTTAATGTTATTGGGATATGGAACTTAATACAAGTTTAGTAATAAGATATACTGGTATGAAAAAGTTTTATGTTGTGGAGCGCTATGTAAGATTATTTCTATTAAAAATCACTGATTTTTTTTAATGTTACTGTGTTTAGGTTAGCAAAATATCTTTAAAAAGATGAACCATATCTTCTTTTTCTGATGTTTAACAAGCAACAAAACTAAAATACTAACCCTGCATAAAGTTACAGAATATTTTAAAATACTGAAAGAAGAAATGGATGGTATTTCTTTGCCTTTGCTGCTATATAGGCTCTCAAAATAGAGTGTCTTCCACAGTCTTGAAATGGGATTCAGTTTCCTGTGGATTGTGTGCCAGGCTTTAATTTTATCTTTACTTTTAAACAGCCTGAAGTTTTGAGCCCAACCTAGAATTTAACATTTGAAAGGATAAATAGGACAGGTATGTCAGGAACACTAAAAATCCACATAAAATTAAAAAATCATGATGAAACAGAATTGTAATCAGAATTTTATAGCAAGTCCAAGAAAAGTTACCAAAAATTAAAAGAATCAACAAAGGTGCTAGACAATAAAATTTACAAAAACCAGCAACGCCTAGTAAGAAATCTATTAAAAAGGATCCCATTAATAAAGACAGCACAAAATATAAGACACCTAGGAACAAATTCAGCAAACAGATGAAATACACTGAAAGCAATCAAAGGATGTAAGAAAATAACTAGGTAAGATGCACACAATGGAAATAGAAATGCCCACTACACGATAATGTCAAGTTTTCCTCAAATCTTTAAATTCAAAACAATACCACTCATAGAATTTGGTAAACTGTTTTAAAATGTAACATGGAAAATGGATAGTTCAAGAAATAAAAAGCGTGAGTGTGTGGGATGACTTACCACACCAAGTATGAAGAATAATTTTAGGGCTACAGTTAAGTAAGACAATGTGATAGCTGCAGAAATAAGCAAAAGCACATGGACAACAGCAGAGAACACCAATGGCCCAGGCATGTAAAGCAGAGTTAGACCTGCAAACCAGAGGTTTTTCATGCAGGAAAAGGATTAGACTGCTTTTTCTCATGAGTCCTAATGATGAATTTCCATTTGACTAAAGTCCTAAACACAAAAAACAAAAATTTCTAAATTGCTGTAAAGAACTGCTTTAAAAAGACATGAAAAGCAGGAGTCATAAAGGAAAGATTGATAAACCTGACTACTTCCAAATGAAGTTTTGCAGGACAGAAAATGAACCACACATAAAAAATTTAAAAGAAGCCACAGATTGGAAGAAAATATTTGCAATGAATATTGAGAGACAGAAAGAATTAGTACCCAGAATATGTAAAGAACATCTTCACAACAACAGGAAAAAAAAGTTGGAGAAAGGACATGAACAGGCAGATAAGCAATATCCAACAAACACATACAAAAGATGACAAATAACATTAGAAACAGAGAAATTCAGGTTCAAACAAAAAGCATCACTTCTTAGGACAAAAGTGTATCAAGTCTGGGTAGGATGTGGGGAAAGGGGAACGCTCACAACTGCTGGTGGACATGAGAATGGTCCTGGCACTGGGGAAAACACTGGCAAGACCTAGCAGAAGGTCAAAGTTTGAGCATCATACAGCACAGGATTTCCACTTCTAAGTAGAAATGGAAACCAATCTCTGCACCTTTGCAAAAGCAGAACGGCATTGAAATGTTTACTTCAGCACTAATTGTAGTAATGAAAACTTGGAAGCAAGCAGAGAACAGCTAAGCTGTGGCACAACCATACACTTCAACACTGCAAAGCAGTTCGGATGAAGCATGTGCACCCATACTGTGGGATGAAGTCTCAAAACTTATTTCAAAGCAAAAACAGTCACAGCAGGATGCAGGAAACAATGCAAACTCCAATTATAATGTGACAAGCATTGCTTCATGTGGGATACAAATGCTATAAACATGTAAAAGCATGAAGGGAGGATGTGCCCCAGCCTCAGGATATCTAGATGTGTCTGTGAAAGAAGAAAACAGAATGGTTTACGGGGGGCGGGGGAGTTTGAAAATAATCTGAAAAATAGGGCAAATACATTTTATTTGTTAAATCGGGAAGTGATAGTTACATGAGCTTATAATGATGTTTGAAATATTTTGCCATTAAAAATGGCATTAACCTTTAATAGCAAAAACAATTCTGACTACGACAATGAACTCTCATGAACTACGCCCATCTGAGGGCTGGGCCACATGCCAGAGTCTGACCACAGCTCAGGCTCCCAGGGGCTTCAGCAACAGGGGAGGCCGGCTCTGGAGTCACGGGCAGGAGTGTAGGACCGCTCCTGAGCTGCCACGCTGAGCCATGGCCACACCTACATCTCCAGGTGGATGGCACAAGCTTGAAGCATACCACCTTCCTCTGACTTGTGCAGGAAATAGTCTCTGCTCAGAAAACGGGTCAAATGGTTGTTTAAAGTCATTGACTGGCATGAATTGTAGATATAACAACTTCTGTAATTAAAAGTCATGATTTATTGAGTTTGGTGAATGTTTGTGGTTGATTTCTCACTTAGAATGGCAACTTTATTTTTAAGCTGTGCTTATGATGTAACAGAGTAGTTATACTATGACTTCTTAAGTAGATTAGAAGAATTAAAACAGGAGAATGACATCTGCACAGCCATGTGCCTATTGAGATTCTAACACTGGTACTTCCAAAATTTACATAAACCTACCCTCTGTTCACACATAATTAAAATAAAGATTGCCTTTCCAGTTAATTTCTTTGAGTCATGGGAGCTAGTTTTTTACTTTTTTAAAAAATCCAATCCATATTATCAGTTAAGTGTAATGACCTCCAAAAACTGTGACTTATATTCTAAACTGCATTTAATAAGACCAAATTTTACTTTTTCCCTCTCTTCATTTCCCTTTTTCCTGACATAATGTAAAGTCGGAGAGCAGGCTGCTCCAGTGAGGCACCTTAACTGGCTCAGCTTCACTAGATGTGGAAGGAGATGTGGACCGTGACTGGACGTGAAACTGGAGGCTCGAGTTCCGTACATAAGTGTTCTCAACGGGATCAGTCTAGGAAAATAAGTCAGGAAAAACAAAATCCCAAAAAATCACTTTGAAACAACATGCAGGCACAATTGTGACATTTCCTAAGAAAGAGGAGAGCAAATGAGTCTGAATATTCATGTCAGGGATTTGTCATTGCACAAAAGCCCCACTAGTTTCAAGGTAAACAGGAGTTTTAAGGTATCAACAGTAACTGAAGGCTTCCTCCCAATGTTTGCTGTTCATCTCCTGGCTGGAGCCCTGTTCTTCACTCCATGTCATTTACTTGTATCTCAACTGGAACTTCAGTATTTCACAAATCATGTAGGTTAGATAAAAACAATATGCATGTGTGTGTATATGTATGTGTGGTATGTGTGTGTGAGAGAAAGAGAATGAGAGCAAGGGAGAGAGGGAGCAAGGGGAACGAGAGAGAGAGAGAGAGAGAGAGAGAGAGAGATTAGATATAATCTCTGTCCTTGCTAACACCCTTGACAAAAATTAAATTTGGTCTTTTACTCGCTATTAACTAAAAGTAAAAAGAAGCTAATATCAGCTTTGTGCTTGTCACTGAAGTCAATCCATCTTCAATCAGGGGTGGAAATGTTAGCTCTTATCTTCATTTACACTCTTGTAAACCAAGTACTTTTGGAAACAGCAAATGCTTTGAACTAAAACTTCCCATATGAGGTCTTTTGAAGCATGTTCACTGACTATCCGCCCACTTTGGCAATTAAAAAAATTCCTAGCCGGGCGCTGGTGGCTCACGCCTGTAATCCTAGCTACTCAGGAAGCTGAGATCTGAGGATCGCGGTTCAAAGCCAGCCCGGGCAGGAGAGACCGTGAGACTCCTAGCTCCAATAAACCACCAGAAAACCAGAAGTGGCACTGTAGCTCTAGTGGTAGAGCGCTTGCCTTGAGCTGAAGAGCTGAGGGACAGTGCCCAGGCCCAGAGTTCAAGCCCCACGACTGACAAAAACAACAAACAAACAAAATTCCTATGATTGAGTTTAACCAAAGGAAATTTGAAGAGGTCAAGGAACTTGTTTGAACAATGCTCTAATCAAAGATTACCAAGTGATAAAAAGAGCATCAGATTAAGGATTTTAACAACATGACAACAATGTGTCATTAGAAGCGCGCTGCTGACAGATTCAGCTGCAGTCAGGAACGTTGTCTTGACAAAGCAAGATTATTAGAAAGTCACACGTGAAATTAAGTGAACAAGCTTTTAAATTTTCAGGTTGAATGATCAATGACTGGGAATGTAAGTATTTGAAACGGAAAGGATTCGATAAAGTTTTCCATTTCTAATAGAAAGCTTTCTGGCTCTTTAGAGCACAAGATAACTGAAAAGAACAAATTATTTTTTCAAAATGAGGACATTTGCTCCTGTAC